GTTTCATTGTTATTTGGAGAAAATCCAAAAATAAAAGACCCGGCCCCAGCCAGCAGGGAACCTGCCAGCCTTCCCTGCTGGAAACCCACCAACAACTGTTCTGGGACAGCAGCTCCTTTTCTCCTTCTCCCTCATGGCTAACAGTAGCAAAGGCTTGTTTCTGGAAACAAGCACCGGCAGAATTACCCTTCAGCTTCATAGTCTGCTGCCATCACAACAGCCATCGGCGGCCAAACTCTCGCGGACTCTGCATCCTGCTACACACAGGAGCTGTCCTGCTCCTACTCATTTTTTGAACCTCCCAACCTCCTTTCCTCTTCTGCCTTTTCTACCCAGATCCTTCTCTCCTCCACAAGTGAAAGAAGCAAACAAGCAAAAGGCATCACCAGGGCACCACCAGGGCTGAAATGAACTCAACTGCTTTGCAAGAATGCTCTGGAACTTTTTACCAAACTCTTAGCTTTAAAGGCTGTTTTTCAGAAGGTACATAATTACTCTAACTGGGAAGCAAGCATCATTTGCTAGTTGATTCTTCTGCACATTAAACTGCCAGGACTGTGATGGAAGTAGTGTAACATTTAGGGTGGGAAAGCCACTAGTAAGTAATTCCTAGAGTAGGAATTTCAGGTAGTTGGTGAGGACATATCATAGAAAACACTTTATTTATGATTTACAAAATCTGTTATTGTTTCCAGATAACATAAAATTGAAAAATAAAATTCAAACATTTAAAGTCTACAAAAATCTAGAAGTTTAGATTATTTTCACATGAGCATTCTCATTTATGGTATATAACCACATGTGCTTTTACAGCCATTGAAAATAATAACATTCCTTCCGTGACTTGAAAATAGCTCTTTTTCGAGCATACAGGAGACACCATAAATTGGATTAAAGCAAACCTACACAACCTTGGAACCCATAAGTCAAACTTACAAAGTTTAAGAAAGTTGGTTCTCTGAGGACTAGAACTCCAATACATTATAAAAGTTTTTCCATGGGAGCCATTTATGTGAAAAGAAATTAAAGAATAACTTTAAAGCTGACATAAAAATAAAAACATGGAATGAAGTTAATTTCTGGTGTTACTCCATTCAGTTACACCACAGGTCATTTTGGCCCGTGATCTGTAGAAAATACTGTCATGATTCATCACAGCAAAAAAAAACAAAACAAAAACAAAACACCAAAAGCTTATTTAATAAAAGAATCAAATGAACTAGATGAGCTAGGAAGAAATTGTCAGAAAATTTTCAAATTAAAAGTATGCTTTCCACCAGCATTAAATAAATTCAGTTTTCTTAAATGCATATTGATTTAAATTTCTCAAAGAAAATTTATTTTGTCAAGTTAGTATAAGATGCAAACAAGAATGAGCTATTATAATGCCAATATTACCTTATTCAAGCAGATTAACTCTTGCTAATTATTAAATTACACATCTGGCCTGCTGCATATTCTTAGTTTGTAAGAAGTTCTAATTAGCTATTTGAAAGTGTTCAGGGTGGTAGCTGAATATTCGCTGTGTGTAAGGATCACTGTCCATTGCCATTTTTTGTCCTGCGTAATGGTGGTAGCTCTCCGGATGAAAGTGTTCACAGTGAAGGCTAATCCATTCTCTTTCCGTACTGTATCTTTCTGCTTCAGCAAGTATTCTAGTAAGAGCCATGATATAACTCAAAGCCATCTGAAGGGTCTCATACTTGGACAGCTTCTTATCTTGACCCCACTGTGGAACCACCTTTCTCAAACGATCAAAGGCTGTGTTCAGTCCTTGCATCCGTCTTCTCTCCCTGGCATTGGCAGCCAGTCTTCTCTTTGCAGCATTTTCCATCCTTTCTGAACTGCACTTCACAACACAGCCTGGTCCACTTCCGCACTGGATGTCTGAATCTACCTTTGAATCCAAATGACTGGATTTACAGGTTTTCATATTCGATGCAGCTTCAGTTTCACACACACAAAGATTACTTTTTAAAAATTAGGTATCTAAAAAGCGGTGGGGAAAGCACTCATGTGAGTAGCCTGCGTACCTCTTGAATCTTTCCAGATATCAATGATGGAATATTTTTCTTAGCATCTGAAAAAATAATAATAATAAAATAAAAGGTCTTCTAGTTCTTCTGGAAATGTCTGGAAATTGCTTCTTATTGTTTAAAGAAAGAATAAAGAGTTTTTAATGTCTTATGCTTTCATTCTTTTGATTTCTTTAAACTCAGAGAGAGAGAAAACACTGAAGTCTCCATTCTCAAAATGTATGTTACTAAAGAAAATGGTCCATTTAGTCCAACAAGGATCTTAATAGATTAAAAACAACACATCAATTCCAAATGATCATTTCAAAAGAAAGAAGTTCTAATTCAGTTTAGGAGAGTATTTTGAAATGATGAACTGTTGCGATCTGAAGACATAACTTCGTAACAGAAATCTCTCCTTTCTTGAATCCTGCCGGCAAGCAATGATTGTGTCTTACAGACAAGATGAGGCTTTATAGAAACTGCAAAAGCTAAACAGGTGGTAGCAGGTGGGCGGGCGGCACTCTGCTTCCATCCCAGTACCTTCCCACCCTGGGAACTACAGGGGGAAAAAAAACAAAACAAAACAGTAAAATCCGAACATTACAGCCTTCATCTGTTGAGAAGTCTTCCAAAGCCATTCTGTGCAGCCCTAACAACTTGCCATCTGGAGCACTGTCTGGCTGGCCCCACAAGACTCTGGGCAGTTAAGCAAAAGATCCTTTCAATGGATAATCTGTTGCAACTCAGGAAAAAAAAATCTCTGTGCATTGTAGTATTCGTACATTAAAACATGTGAAAATTCTGGTTAGATAATATTAAGGGTAGAGGAAATAACTGTTCTAATGAAACAGAGGAGAATTAGCTTAATGGTATATGGCCAAGAACACTGCTGTTTGGCACTATATGATACCAAAATAAGTAGACTCAAATTATTAGAAACCCTTCAGGACTCATAATTTTAATATTGTATAAAGTAGACAACATTGCAGAGAGAGTAGTGCCTTGAGAAAAATGGGGATTATGTATTCGCACGTCAGCAAATCCAATGTCATTAAAATAATTTAAAATATATTTAAACACTTAAAATGTAACTATGGATTTATCTATTAAAGATTGTAAAAATGTTTGGATAGGTTAGGACATAGACATGCACAAAAACATGTTAGTATACAAATAGTCTGAAAACTGCCCTTTTTAATACACCTTTTTAAAGTATATATGTGCATTTTATGTGAATTTAAAAAAAAAGTGTCTTTTTAGTCATATCCCTAAATAGGCAAAGAGAAAAAAAGAGGATGTGAAAAAAAGAAATCTGCTTGCTGGCAGTAAGGGATCATTTCTGCTACCAATTGTAATGACAGAGAAGCCACCATACACACACTCACACCGCATAATCAAAACATCTTTGCTTTACTGTGCTTGTATTACTAAAACCATTAGCTACATAAACTTACAAGGAAACATCACATGATCATTTTATGATATATACAAACGGGAAAAAAAAACCAACCCTGTGACACAATGATTTATTATCTGTATTGATTTCAAACTTAATTAAATTGTTACCAGCATTCATAAATTAGTAACTTTTTTCATTAGAGACTGAATACTGTATATTTATTTAGAACTATAGCTCAATTGTTTTCATTATGACTCCAAAACTTGGTGTAGTTGTAAACAGCTGATTAATCCCTAGCAGAAGCAATGACAATGAAATGAGGTTGAATAATCCAAAAACAATAGGATGCAATTGAACACTAATGGACTCCAGCATGACAGATGTTGAACGTAGGCTGTTACGCCCAGTTGCTCTGCTCTTAATATTCTGAATCCTAATGGTCTTGAACAGAGATGATGGTTGGGGTAAGGATTCTCCATTAGTCCATTATCAAAATGTATGCCACATCTTCAATTTTTAAAGACGTACAACTGCATCACGTTTCATTATAAATGTTCAACATTGACCTATTCTCCCAAACATAAAGAACTACTACCACACATGAAAATGCTACTTTCTGAATGAAAATTTCTGATTATTTGTGTGTGTGAGAGATAAGAGTTGAGAATAGCACCTTTCAAAAACCACATAACCATAAGTCTTTCACAGAAGGATCAGCAATTATCACTCGTGAGATATTTCTTTTTCTGAAGACGCTTCACGGAAAGTATTGCATGTGCAGTAGAAAAAAAAAAATACACCTCTGATCCTCATGCTATTGCTTGAGCATATTTTAGTGCTACAGCCTTCTATTCCCAAATAAGTTTGTCAGTTAAATCCTTTGTCTCTTAAAACGAATCTCAAGGGATTTTTAATGTAAAAGAACACAATAACATTAAGGTGTTTTGTAAGTTAATAAATATCGTGCATTCTCATGAGGTAGCTATTACTCAATTCAAATAATTAATCACTCTGAGTGTTAAGAGTGCTGTTAACTTCATACCAGAAATAAGAAAAGCATGCCTTTAAAATATCATATGGTATAATACTGTGTTTTTTTCATTTGTCATCGGTTTTCCTATTTTTAACTTAATATGTCCTGCCAGTATGAATTACAACGAAGACTTCAAATATATTGAAAATCACAGTTCTTAAAAACTTTGTATTTTACTCCACTAATGCATAGCAACATAGTACATGACAGTGCTGTTAATTTTCCCCTTCCTAATTGATTCACCACCATTATCATGCTTTGACTAATACAGTGGTATAATCTCAAGAGAGAAGCTGTGATTTATCTCTCTTACTGAGCAAACTGTAACTTTACCTTAAATGATTTACTATCAAATCACAGGACGAGGGCCCAAATCCATCTGGATTAATAACGAACCCCTAACAGGATTTTATAGCTTACAGGCAAGGCTAAAAATTGTTCCATGGCAGACCAAAATGCCTGCTTTTTCATCACTTACAATTTTTTTAAGTTTCTGCTTTATGAAAGAGAAAGAACAAAATTAAGTATTAAGGTCTTATCCACACAAATTAATTTAGTTCATTTGCATAGCCCACCAGCCATATGAAAATATGTTATCTCAAGCTAGAAAATCAACTGCTTTACTGCTCAGTCAATAATAGAAAGGGTGTCAGTGAAATTTGCCCAGGTTTCCTTCACCTGGTTTGATTTTCTTTATATTTCAGATTGTCTCAGTTATTGCTTATGTAATTCTATTCCCTTCTCCATTTATTTTTAATCATTTCTCAGGTCTTATTCTTTGAAATAATTTTTCAAATGATTCTCAAGATTTTTATGATGTAAGTTTTGAAAAAGCTATTAATATATTCTGATGTGAAATGCTGCTGTGGTGCTAAAAACTTTTCTAGATCCCAGCTTATATTAGTCTCATCTTTATTGTACATCAATCATTTTTCAAGAATTTCCCTTTTACTTGTATTTTATTGTCATAAGATAATCTCAAGCCAGAAGAACATTAGAATTAAAAAAAGTTCTGTGTCTACTCAATTACTCAGATTTCAATCTTTGAATGTCTAACTATGCAGGTACAAATTCAGTGCTACTCCATGACCCTAACAGCATTATTCTTGATTCATATTTTAATTCTAAAACAGTATCTTTAATCAAAACATTATGTTTTTCTCAAAGAAAAACAAGAGACAGGCAAGAATGCTATTTCAGTCATAAACCAAATTATTTTATCATCTTTAAGTCACCACTGATATTAGGAAACTAAGGGGTAATTTCAGTCCATTAAAGAAATTAACTAGTTTCAGGATTTATGACTACATACAGAAATACATAAAAAATTGTCTGCTAGATATCCAAGTTAGTAACTCAGATGTGATTATCACAGCACCCACTAAGAAGAGCTAGCTGTCTTTCACCTGTACTGCTATGGAAAACACAACCTAATTACTTTTGTTGTGGAATGACTGTGGCCAAATACTAATTTTAAAAGGAAGTGAAAGTAATATTTCTGGTTAAAGTCTAATTCCTCAATACCTTCTCTTCTCTAATTGTACTAAAAATAACATATACAAGCAATATATCAAAGCAAGAATCTTACCTCATCTTTCTAGCCAGAACTCACTATTTCATCGCAGGTAGATCCTTTCTAAAAGCTTTATCAAGAATTCTTACCACTGTAGTTTATACTGAGCAAAGCTGAAAGACTGGCATGCCGTATGCTGCTTAATTAAGAGCAGGTGGGTAACTACCAAAATATGACCATCCTTAATGGCCCAGTTTCTAGTAATATTTGACTCAGCTGATGAGACAGGCTAGAAATCCATGGTGTGCAGAATAATGTATTTTCCTTCCTTGGTTATTTACATTGTACATACAGCTATAGGACAAACAGAAAATAGAATAATTCACAACTGAATGTTGTACCCTGAAGTGAAGGGAAATTTAGACACTGACTCATACTGGGAAGTTGAATAGCAACCTACAGCAGTAAGATGAGTTTACAATCATTTCACCTAGGGCTTCCCAACCTCATACTGGACACCTTTTTCTACAGAGTTCTTAAAATATTTCATTTTCCTCTGAAGCCTCTCTGGGGTGAGCTTTTCTTTCTAGCAGTTCAACAAGTAAGTCTCCCAGCCACACTTAAGGCTCTGCTTGCCATACTACCCTCCAACTATCACTTCTTCTCAATTTACCCATTTCTCCTTGCCAGTCATCCTTTTCTGATCCACGTTATCTTTCTTAAGTAGCTTTCCCTCAGGTGAGGCTCAAAAAGCATAGCTTTCCTCAGTGATCCTGCACAGAACACCCTTTCAACGTAACTTTGTTTTAAAGCATGCTTCTACAACAGGAGGTGTAAAACCTCTTAAAAAAAAAAAAAAAAAAAAAAAAGAGAAAGGGTTCGTTTTATCATGGTACTAGAGGAACATGTTTCAAATCTTTAACTAAAATGTTTCTCACCTATATTATATATTGAATATGATTACTATTACATACATATATGTACACACATACATATAC